GGGACATTAGTGCCTGCACAAGGTTACGGAGTTCTGGGCATCAGCCAGGAGGGGATGAGGGCGAGCTCTCTGGGAGCCCCAGACCCTGGAGAGGATGCACCCTCAAGCATCAGGTGCTGGCACAGACATGGCTCTGCCAGGCGGAGGGTGGATGCCGCTGTCCAGGGCCCCTGGCTCAGGGGTAGCAGGAGGAATGCAGCACCAGAGTGGCAGGAAGGGCTGGGGACTCAGAGAAGCCAAATGAGACGGTGGGACTTTGTGGGGGTGGGGCTGTGAGAAGTGGCATGGGACAGCATGGGGCCACCTGCTACGCCTCACTGTCTCTACCTATGTCCTGAGTCTGGCCCTCCTCTCCACCCATGGTGGGCCACCATCTCCTCCTCCTCATCATCTTCTCCAGCATAGGCCCCACCTCTGCCTCCATCCACCTCCCTCCAGCAGCCCGCGTGGTCTATCCCAATGCACAGATGGTCGCGCACCCCATCCTGAGCCCATCTGTGGCTCTGCTGCTGCTGGATCCACTTCAGCTCCTGAGAGGGGCTCACAGGCCCTGTGACCTGGGGTAACCCCCTACCTGACCCAGTCCACATCTAGAAACAACCCCACTCAGTGCAGGGAGCCCTGGAGGGGCCTCATCTCACACAGCTCAGGGCCTCTGCCAACGCAGCCCCCTCTGCCTAGACATCCTCAAGATCCCCCTCAAGCCTCACCCTGTGCAGGAAACCCTTCTCGAGGCCCCGGGTGCCTGACATGCCTCCCTGGGTCTCCCAGCTGCAGCTTCTGCCCCCATCACAGGACCGGCCACCTTAGCTGCGCTGTCTGTGCAGGAGCTCCGTGAGGTGGGGACAGTGGAGTTTTGCAAGCCTTGTCTAGGGGGGGTTCAACAGGTGTTTGCTGGAGGCTGTGACACTACAAGGACACAGTGCATGTGCTGGGAGGGACCAGACGACCAGGCCACTGAGAGGAGCTGGCAGGAACTCCGCTATTCTCAGGAAGCCAGCTTGTCAGATCTGGTGGATTACCCAGCCCCGGCAGTTTCAAGGGAAGGGCCAGAAGCCCGGACAGGGGCAAAGAGGATCACATGGATTCCAGAAAACGCAGACCCGTGGCCACAGAACAATTTCAGGACAGTCAACAAACCGAACATTATCTAGACATATCTGAGCATTTAGAAAGGGAAAGACGCCATGTGTGTTTCCGAACGTCAGCACATCCTCTGTGCACGGGCCTCACCTCGTTGTGGACGGGGCCGACCAGGGACATGTGGCACCCCAGCCAGTGTGGTGGGACCAATGACCAGGACTCAGGGGACAGACAGCCACACAGTTACCCTCCAGCCCAGCAGGTGATTCAGCATTGGACTCAACTAAAGAAGATGTCACCGTGGAGGTAGGCTTCCAGGGCTGTGTCCCGGGTCTCAAATGTTCACACAAACTCCACATGGCGATCTGTGCACCGGAAAATGGCTAAGATGGTAAATTTTATGTTATGTGTATTTTATCACAATAAAAAAAAAGTGGAAAAAAACACAGCTGGGGAGGAGAGCTGGTGTGCTCTGTGACAGACGGTGGACCCCTGGGAGGTCCCGAGGTGAGAGGAAAAGGTGGGATTTCTGGGGAGAGTTTGCATTTCTGCAGGAACAGGCAAGAAGAGGGTGGGACATTCTGACTGGACCACAGTTGTCATGAAAAATACCCAGAAATCATAGGTGACCCTGCGCTCAGCATAAGAAGGAGTGTGCTGGGTTTGGCCACATAACGGAAGCTGCCCAAGGACACATTAACCGAGGAAGGGCATAGAGAACGGAGGTGATAGCTTGGCTTGTGCTGTCAGAGCCCACCTAAGCTTTGTGCCCAGTTCTACGGGTTACACTGACAACCTGGAGAGTGCCCAGAGGTGGGGCCAGGGTGGGGAGGGGCCTGGACACTTCACAGAGAACAACAGTGGAAGGATCTGGAAGCTGACTGCTTTGAGGTGCAAAGTCCCATCACCCACAGGCTGGAGGCCTTGGGTCAGTGACTCTGCCTGGCTGAGCCTCAGTCTTCTCCTCTTAAATAGGGCCTGCAGTAATTCCTGCCAGGCAGGGTGCTTGGGAGATGAAATGAAATGATTCATGAAAGGTTTCAGCTCAGAGCCTGGGCTACAGCAGCACATGCTGAGCCTCAGGCACCTGGGAAGGAAAAATGGGGACACGGCTGTGACCCAGGGCTGCTGCAGGAACCAGGGACATGCTTGGAGGCTCCCAGGCAGCCTTACCTCTGGGCATCTGCCCTGAACTTGTTCTGGCATCACAAGGAACTTGGTCACCAGGAAGAGCACGTTCTCTCCCTGGAAGGCAGGGGTCAGGGTTGGCCCTGCTTGGTTCCTCGATGAGAGAGGCCAGAGGTTGGCAGCTGGGTTTGGGAGGGAAGGGGTCCTGCCCCATCTAGTCATTGGCCCTGTGCCCCACGACAACCCTGTGCCTCTAGTAAGGCAGTTTGAGGCTGAGACAGGAGGGTGAATGGGTTTCTGGCCATTTCTGAGCCCCTGTCTGTCTCTTTGGGGCAAGTCTTTCTCTATTCACTATCATTTGCTCAACCAGAATTTTCCATGAGCCTCTTGCTTCTAGGCACTGAGGACCCAGAGCTAAATTGGGCCGGGCACCCACCCAGGCTAGTGGGGAGGTGGACCGCTCATTGCACGCATGGCCGGGGGCCAGAAGAGCAGGTGGTGAGCTCTGCCCAGGAAAAGGCAGGGGCTGTGGGTAAGGGTGGCTGGCACTGTGTGCTGCCCATGACAGCTCTGTACATGTGAGGGATGCACACCCAGGAAGGGGAGGGGAGGGCTGGGCAGAGGGCAGCAGGGGTGGCAGCGGTCAGGATCTGCAGGGACTAGGTGGCCACCATCACAGAAAGGGAGCCTCCAAGGGTGGCAAGCAAGGGCTGGCAGGTCTGATGGTGTCACCTGTGAAAGCTCAGCCTGGCTGCTGCGTGGAGCACACCTGGGGGCCCACAGGAAGACAACAGGGACAGCAGGGAAACTGTCACAGATGGAATGGATGGGACGGAGGGGCAGAGAGGTGTCAAGCCAGGTGCAGCTTTTGCAATGAGGACATCCTGGCCTCATTGGATGAAAAGAGGCCCCCATGGGAGAGGGAGAGGGCTCCCTTGGATGAGGTGGGGGTGCACCAGGAGGCAGCTATGCTGGGGCAGGTGTCCCTGGGGTACAGTGTGGGCATCAGCAGAACAGAGAAAACAGGGCTGTGGAGGATCTGGGTGGAGCAAGGAGGGGCAGGAAGGCAGCGTGGGGCGGGCAGAGGAAGCACCAGCCCGCAGGGCCCAGGGCAGCGAGGGAGAGTTCAGGAGCCCCAGGCCCTGCCCCCTGCCCCCCACCCCTCCTCATGTTCAAGCCTGGACCCCCCAGACCCTCCACTCTTCCGGATATGACTTTGTAAATGCAGTCCCTCTGGTCCGGCTTCCTGACTTGTCCCCTTGTCCACGTAAAACCTCTTACACATCTCTGAGAGCCTGTCCAGGGCCACTCCTTGGTCAGACCCTTCCTGAGCCTGGCCCTGTGACAGCACCAGCACCCCCTCTGGCATAATATCCCCTCTTGCACTCACTCACTGCAGGGATGGGTTGAGAGGTGTAGTGCCTGGCAGCAGTACCGAGACACCCACCTGTGGTGGCTTCACGAAGTCACCATGTCCCACACTGGTTCTCCAGTTCCTCGATCTGTGTCATGGAAACCCCTTTGAGTTTGGTGATCACAGAACCCTGGGGATCCAGAGCCTGCTCCTGGTAGCATTTTTTGGCGAGGAGGGCCCACCTGGGGAGGAGGCGATGGGCAGTGTGGCCTGTTGGCTGTACACAGTGAGCAGCAGAGCTGGCCCCTCCCACTCAGCCCCTACACACCTTATAGGCTCCCAGCACAGCGATCAGGCCCCGCCTCTTCTCCAGCCTCATTTTCACCCAAACACCTGCACGGGCCACATGTTCTGGTCACGCATTGGAGAGCCATGGGCTCAGACTGATCTGCCCACCTCCTCCCTCACCAGTCCTCCTCCTCCCCTGCCCTGGCCACACCAGCTCCTCCTCAAAGGCTCCCCTGACCAGGCACAGCTGGTGGCCTTTCTCAGGGACCTCAGGGCTGCAGCTCTCACAGGGGTCAGGGACTACCTCCAGCCCTCCCAGGGGCCTCCTGGGCAGGGCAAGACCATCCTGCTCTGTGCCCAGAGCCCAACACGGGGCTGGGGACAAGGCCCAGGAAAGGGGGCAGGTGGACACACAGGAGGACACAAGCACGCGGCTCGCTCTTGTCCCTGCTGGCTTCTAGACAGACAGAGATCCTTCCTTCTGCCCCTCCCCTGTCCCAACATGCCCCCTCCACAACCACCAGCCCTGCCCCTGGAGAGTCAGACCCCCAATCCTCAGACCAGCAGGACCAGTCAGGGTCCCTCCAGCTAACCCACCCAGGAGCCATTCTCTCACCCACCATGTAGACCAGGACCCCGAGCTGCAGCAGCCTCTGCAGGGGGCCCACCCGCTGCTTCCTGGTCATCACTTACTTCTCAGTTTTGTAATCCAGAAGCCCCCAGCCTGGCCCGGCCCCTGGGGAGCCCCTGCTGTCAGCTCCTGCTGGCTGCTGGGAGCAGGAGTCAGCACAGCAGCTGCAGCCCCAGCCGAACAGGAGGCAAAGCAGGGGCCAAGGCCAGGCCAGCCAGCAGCATTAAAGGGACACTTGGGGCAGGGTCCAACCCCACCCCAGCCCTGGGCTCATTCTCAACCCCCAGCTGCCCTGGGCCTCCCTTCCACCCCACACTCCCTCTGCTGGGCCCTGGGGCACTGACAGGAGCAGGCCCACTCCCCTGCCCTTTGACCTCACTTCCTTGGGGGTGAGGGGATGACAGGGTTATAGGTACTTTGAGAGGGTGACATGGTGATGGCACAGCCCAGAGGAGGGGCCAAGGAAAGCTTCAGGAAGAAGAGGTCCCAGGGGCAGAGAGGGGTTTGAATGTGGGTTTGGACACCAACCTTCAGACTGCAGGTGCCCTCTCAGGGCATTCAGGTCTGTCTCCTCACCTTGGGGCTTCTAGGCAGGGGTGGAGGGGGCAGAGCACCCCTGTCCAGCAGAGAGCACATCCCTGCGTGCCACAACTTCAGGGCAGCCGGCAGCCCCTCCAGCCCTGTGCACTCCCGCGAAAGCTCTTGGCAGCATCACTTGTTCCACCACTAGAACAGCCTTCCAGAATAGTGTTACAATGCAAAAACCCAGCCAAACAGTCTAAGGAGGGGTGTCCCATTCCTTCCCAAAATGGGATCAGGGCATGGTTTTCAGAACCCACAGGAAAACTAAGCTAATGTATGTGTGGAACTTAGAGTTATTTCAGTGTTTTTCCCTATAAAATGTTCATAAAACATATGTGGTCTGCGATGCGATAGAAAAGACACGGCATGCACTTCGCTGTCAGACAGGTGGGTCCTAAGCCTGACTCTGCCGGGATCAGCTACTTCTAGCTGTGTGACCTTAAGGAAAAGACTTGCTTTCTCTGAGCCTCAGTGTCCCCATCTGTATATGGTGCAGGAGTCCCTGTTAGCACAGGAGGAAATGCCTCTAGAGGGGAAACAGGCTGGGGAGTGACAGAGGGCAGGGGAGGAGGCAGGCGGCGGTGCCTGGGGAGGGAGCCACACTTAGCCCCTGTCTCCTATCAGGTACCCGTGGGCTTGGAGAGCTGGTCAAGGACACCCTCTCCCTGAGGTCTCCCCGGGCCCACAGCGTCGTGCCTGCCTCCTGCTTTCTGTGCCAGGGAAGCATCCCAGAGCTGAACCTGCAGCACTGTGGCCTGGGGCCCCAGCTACCCCTGGGGGGACCCTGGGCCTGGCTTGGAGGGGAGGACCTGGGAGGCAGCAGCCATGGGAGTGGCCCTCCCTGAGCCCATCCCACACATTCCCCAGCCTTGCTCTGTGACAGATGGGATCCAGAGCCTTGCTCTGCCTGGCAGATGGGATCCAGCTATGACCGAGATCACTGTAGGGTCTGGGGAGCCCCCCTAATGCACTGGGGGGTCAGGGAAGGCTCCAGGAGGTCTGGTGGAGCCTAGAAGGAGAAGCAGGCAACCCCTGGGCCTGTGGGAAGGGGAGGGCCTTCCAGGTGGAGGGCATCAAGTGGGCGGAGCCCTGGGTACAGGGGCCAGGTCAGTGAGCAGCTATGTGTGGGGCCTTCAGTCCTGGGGAGGACCAGCCCCTCAGGCCCCCCTGTCTGAGGGGGCCTAGGCTCTGGCTTCCACACTGACCTCCAATCCCTGTGTCAAGTGGCTGGACCTTCGGGACACTGGGCTGTGTGGGGCTGGTGCAGGGGCTGTGTGGGGCTGGTTCAGAGGCCCTGGCAGGTGCCCTGAGCAGAAGCAGCAGTATCTGTGGGAGGTGCCCAGCCTGGGACAAGTGGGCAGACTTGAGTCCGCCGTTTCCTGAGGGGTGTGGGCCTTCTCCCTGTGTACCTGCTGGTGTTGCTGGGGTAGGGGCCTCAGCACAGGGTGGGGGGATGGGGTGGAGTTAGACCCTCTCTGCTTCACCCAATGCTGGATGCCACTCCCTCCCTGATCCGCCCCTCCCCTCCACCCCCTCCTCTGCTGGCAGGTGCCCCCTGCATGTGGTGGCCTCCCAGTGCCCCAATGCAGGGTGGGAGGGTCCTTCCACACAGAGAGATGGGGCTGGCAGTGCGAGAGGAGGGAGGGCTGGGTGGGAGTTTCCTGGCACTGGATCCAAATGCCATCTCTGCCACAGAAGATCAGGGTGACACTGGGCAACCAGCTCAACCTCGCTGAGCCTCAGTCTCCAATCTGTGAAATGGACCCAACAATGCCACTCGGCCCTCGGGGTTGTGATGAGTATTAAATGCTCAGCAGAATGTCTGCCTGTGTACGTGCTCCTTGCATGGCCCCTTGGGCTGTCATTGTCAGTCCCCAGAGATGTGCAGTGAGGGCTCTGGTGGGGTTATATTGCTGCCAGGCATGAGTCATCAACAGGATGGCTGCAGCTCCATCCCAGCATCCTCCACAGCACCACAAAGGAGGTGGCCTTAACCCCTTGACAAAGGAACTAGTGGACACATGGGGTGGGGTGGGGTATCCAGCCGATGGGTCACGGAGTCGCCATGCAACCCAAGGACAGTCCCCCTGCAAAGCCCTTCCCACTGCCTCAGGCCTGGAGTTTGGGGGATGGAGGGAGGTGGAGGGGGGTGGTGCCTGACTTGGATCCCACTGACTGGGGAGGGGCACCGGCCCCCAGATGTGAACCTGTCAGAGAACCAGCCGGGAGTGGTGGGCGCCCAGGCTGTGTGTGCTGCCCTCACAGTGACCCCGGCCATGCAGAGGGTACAGCTGGCAGGGAACGGCCTGGAGGAGCAGACGGCCCAGTACCTTGCTGAACTCCTGCTGGCCCACATGGGCCTGAAACCCCTGGACCTGAGCTACAGCCAGCCGAGTGACCAATCAGGTTCCATCTGGCCTGGACCACGGTGGGGCCCATCTTCCTGGGGCAGGAGTGGGTGGAGGTTGGCAGGACCACTCTGAGCATCCATGCTTTGGCCCCTATCCCCACGTACCACCTCAGCCTGCCCCTTGCCCACTCCTTCCACACAGAACTCTTACTCCTCCCTGGATGTATCATTGCCCACCGCTGCCTGTGCTGGGGGCTGACTTAGCCACTAGGCACCCAGCATGAACAAAACAGAGGCCCTGGCCTCAGGGCACACATATGAACAAGGTCATTCTCCATAATTATTGGTGCTACAGAGAAACAAACAGGGCGTGATTCCAGAGAAGAATGGGGATCCCTGCTTAGAGGGGTTGCCAGGGTGGCCTCTGTGAGGAGGTAACACTGAAGCTGAAATGTGCAGGGTGGGGAGGAATCAGCCATGGCAAGACCACGAGGATCGCATTTCAAGGAGAGGAACAATGAACACACAGGCCTGTTTTCAGGCTGACGGACACCAGCATGACTGGGCTATCGGGCCAGGGGAGAGTTGCCAGGCTGTGGAGTAGAGAGGCCACAGGGAGCTACAGGGCCACAAATCATGGCAAAAAGCATGAAGATTATATTCCAAGTCTGTGAAAGACATCATTGGGATTCCTGGATTTCACCACTTTCATGCCCCAGGGCCTTTGCATGTGCTGTCTACTTTGTAAGGTACATACTGTCTACCTGCCTGTCTTCAACGCCTCCAGTCAAGTATAAGAATCACCTGGGACTGTGGTTTAGGATTATAGACTCTTGGAGGGATGCCCATGCACCCGCATTTTAGCAGGTATCCCAGGAGATTTGTGTGATTGAAAAAGTATGGGAGTCTCTGCTCTGTCTCAAGCTGCTTAGAGCGTATGGGGTGGCACCAGCCTTGGCCTGTGGGAATCAGCCCTAGGATCTGACTGCCAGAGAGCCAGTTTACCTTCTAAGAAAATTGCCATGGGAAGTCAGTGAAATTACAAGAGAAGCTCATTTCAGACTTTCCACAAACCAAGTGCGGCGTCCCTCTGGGCTGCGTGGTCAGAGGGCAGGCACCAGAGAGGCGGCCGGGAGGGAGAGGCTGGAGGCTGAGGCCTGTGAAGGCTGCACAAACACGGGAGGGGCGATCTTCAGGCTGGAGAAGGACACACTCTGCAAGACCATTGTTTGCCCAAGTGGGGCTCCGTGGGTGCGCCCAACTCCCTGGAGGTGGAGGAGCTTGTGTCCAGTCTCCCCACCTGACCCATGGTGATTGTGGCACCTGCCACATAGGTTGGCTGCAGGGGTCACGAAGACCAAGCCTGGGAAGCACAGGAGGCCAACTCACCCTCCAGCTGCTCAGCAAGGAAGGGGCTTCCCTACACAGTGGGAGACCACGGCCTTCTCCTCCCAGCCTTGAAGGGTCTGAGGAAGGGCAAGTCCCCGCATCTGGGAGCCTGCAGCTCAGACCCAGCGCTGGGCCTGGAGTCTGCGCGCTGTTCTCAGGGAGGCCACGCAGGGGCCGCGCCTCCTGCAGGGAGCTCTCCGCGGTGCTGAAAGTGCCCGCCCAGGCGCGTCAGGCCCCGCTGGCTGGCTGAGAGCTCTGCCCAGTCAGCGCATCTGTTTTCCTCTGTCCTCTGTCCGTTTCTTCAGACCAACTTTCCCAGACCTGTGCTGGGTGCTTGGACCATGGAATGGAGAGGGGTGAAATTCTGGTCCCTGTGGGCCCCTGGGCCGATGGGAGAGACTGAGCAGGCAGAGAGGTCTGATGGCCAGAGACTGGGAGGAGGGAAGCACAGTGGGCATGGGGCCTGATGCTGCACAGACCAGGCAGGCGGGCAAGGCTTCCTGACACTGTCACCCCAGGTGAGAAGGAGGAGGAGCTGTTAGCCAAGTGAAGAAGGGGGTCAACAGTTCCACACAGGGGGACAACCTGGGGGCATGTTGGTTCCGGCACTTTTGAGAACTGGATGCAGGGCAGACTGGTTCAGTGCTGACAGAGTGGGCAGCAGTGGGGGTTGGGCTTCTGCCCATTTTACATGCTGGATATCTCCCAGTGTTTCTTAACACCACATGGCCCCCACTTTCCTTTCTCTACCACCCCTGCCTCCTCTCCACCACAGCTACACTGGCCTTGTCATTTCTTGACTATAGGCTAGAGCAAAAGCCTCCAAACAGTCCCCTGGCCTCTTGTTTCTGTCCCTGTTGACCCCAGTCCATGCCCCACACCCACCACTAAGGAGTCCAGCGTTGTTACTTCTTAAAGCCCTCCCTGCCTCCTCACCACTGATAGCGTGGTGCCCAAGGCCCTTATCCTTTCATTCAATGTTCTCAGCATCTCTCAAGTGCCCATGGCTCCTCCCTCATTTCGCTGGCTTCCCCCCACCTGCCACCAGCACCAGGCCTGCGTGCATTTCCACAAGTGCCCTATGCTCCCTCAGCCTCCACACACTCACTTTTTCCTGGGCCTGCTCTCCACTCTGCGTGCACACATGCATAAGGACTCCCTCAGTCTTCAAGGTTATCTCCTCTGTCCTCACTTTCCTGACCCCCCAGGCAGGGTTAGCCCCCACTCTGTTCCCATGCCTCACTCTTTGAAGTCTAGAATAGCTCCCATCCCACTAATTTGTATTTATGTCTCCCCCATTAAATGTGAAATCCTTGAGGGCGTGGCAGGCCCATGTTGGGTTCAACTCCGTGACCCTCATGCCCAGCAGAGGTCCTGGCACACAGCGGGCATCAGCACCTTTTTCTGAAGGAGTAAGCAGTGAATAAGAAGGTCTCTCTGGGTGTTTCTGAAGGGTGAACACTTGGACCAGCCCTGGCAGAAAACATAGGACTCACTGAACTTGACATAAGCTGGAGTCACATTCGAGGCCCTGGAGCCATGGCCTTTGCCAGGGGACTGGAGGTATGAAGCCCCATTCCTCAGCCCCTCTGGCTTGTCTTTTGGGAGCAGGTCTCCCAGGTGCCAGTCCCCATCTTTGCACCTCTTCAGAAATGAACCTTGGATCTTTTAAGCAGAGCTTCAAGAATATTTCTTTAAGTGACTTAAGTTCCACTTAATGACAGCTCCACTTAATGACAACAATGTCCTCTCCCCCTGTGCCCACTCTCATCACTTACTGAGGGGTCCAAAGTTGACTGTCACACACCTTCCCCAGACATCACAGACACTTGGCTGGTGGGGACATGGTGCAGTCTGGTGACACATGCTCACTGTTGGGCATATGCAGATGCTTCCCAAGATGATGCCCTGGCACCCTTGGGTCCCAGCACATTCTCAAACTGCCCACCTATTCCCTTGAATGTGGTGGCTTGTAGGCCTTTGGAACGGGTGGCTCCAGCCCCTGTCAGGGTGGCACAGGGGCCTGCAGTGCTCCTGGTGCCAGCTCGCTGTGTGGTCCTCCTCAAGGAAGGGCAGCCGCTGCCTTGCCCTGTGACAGGGGCTGACCTGGGCTCCTGCCCACAAGGTGGCAGGTCAGGCTCTGTCTTCCCAGCACATCCACGAGCTCCACCCTTCTCCCCATCACAGCCCCCAGCAGCCCTTCACTGGAGCCCCCTTGGGACCCAGGGCTGCTCTGTGCCTCCTGGTCCCTACCCTTGAGAGGCCCCCAAGTGGGCATGGGGGCTTGATCACTGTGTCTCTGGGGCCTGCTGCTGTGAGTCAGCCCCCAGGCCTAAGGGTCATTCACATCTACACCTCTCTGTCTGCTGGGCTTCCAGGGGTTCAGCTCTATGGTCACCACCATCCAAGCCACAGACTATCCTGGACTCTGTCCTTCAACACATGGTCCACAGTCTTTGCACTTCGGGCTTCCTGGGCTCTGAGGCTGTAGCACCTGACTTTCTCCACCATCACATGACGTCCCAAGACTTCATTATTTTGCATTCCAGGAAAACATCTTCCTGAGAGTCCTGGACATCTCATACAATGGCCTTGGAGATTCTGGAGCCTCCAAGGTGAATGAGGCACTTAAGACCAACAACATGTTGGAGGAACTTGACATGAGGTGAGGGGCATGGGGTGCCCCCCGTGTCACAGTCTCAGGGCCCATAGCCACCCCAGGGACCAGGGGCTCCTTGATCTTGCTGCTGTTCACCGCTTTAATTCCCAAACCTACCACGCTCTACCCATGATGGGGCCTGAGCCACAATCCGAGAGCACCCAGCTCCGTCCTTCTCACTCAAGTTCATCATTCAAAAATTGGGGCTCATGATTCCCACTGCACAGGCGGGGACTGGGAATCGCACATGTGTGTGTGGAGCATCTTCAGGGAGCCTGGTGCAGGGCAGGTGCTCACATGCTTTGCTCAGCTCATGGCTGCTGGGGGCCTGCTGTGTGGGGGCTGCTCCTCCAGGCCCAGGCAGGGAACCAGGCATCAGCAGGTAAAGAGATCAGGGACCGCAAGCCAGAGGGAAGGAAAGATGCAGAGGCCTGACAGGTCAAGGCTGCTGGAGTGAGCAGGGCCTGCCTGCTGCAATCTTCCCCACCATTTTCCCCCATGGAAGGAGCCAAGGCCAGAGGAGGCCCCGAGAGATGCTGAAGTTCGAGGCCAGAGCTAGGGTCTGAGGAGTCAGAGAGAAGTGGGACTGGCTCCAGGACAGTGGCCAAGAGCGGTGCTGAGGCCTGGAGTTCAGGTCCAGTGGGAGGAGGAGGAAGAGGATGTGGGGAGGGAGCTGAGTGGTTTTCCTGAACAGATGCTGTCATGGTGTCAGGGACAGGGTGCCAGCTGGAGCACAACACGTGGGAGCACCTGCTGAGCTCTGAGGGCCGGGGAGCAGCTGTTGCTCTCTACCGGGGTGGCCTCTAGGCATGTTTTCTGGGTGATCTGAACACGGGGCCTCTGATGGAGCAGAGTCACTATCCAGCTTTGACTCACTGACCTGCCCAGGATCCCCAGGGCATGTGTGGAGGCTGGAGTGTGGAGCCTGACCCAGTGATGCGCCAGCATGTCCAGCTGGGACCCTGGGGAGATCTGTGTGCAAAGCAGCACAATGCACGTCTTTCTGTTGCAGCAACAACCTCATCTGCAGTGGGAGCCCTGAGCCTGGGCCTGGGCCTCCGGGTCAACCTGACACTGAGGATTCCTGTTGGGAGTGCTGGCCTGATGGGGGAGGCACCAGCACAGACCTGCCTGTGCCTGTCCACACAGATCCCTCCTCTGTCACATCTCCCCACCCCAGTGGCAGGGTGCACAGGTTCCAAAGCCCCGATGGGGAGGGAGCCTCCTGGCTTCTCCTTGTGACCACTTCTTCCCTTTGCCATCCCTCACCCACCTCTGGCCTGGCCCATGCACTTCTGCAGACGCCTCTCCTCCATCCTTCCCTCCCAGCTGTCCCTCCTCCTCCTTCAGCCCACTGGAGAGCTGTCTGCTGTGATGGCTGGGGCACCCTCGCTTCCCTTTCATCTTCTCCCCTGCTCTTCCTCTGGCCTTGTTGAACCCAGGCTCAGACCTACCTGAGGCCTTGTGAGCACAGCACAGTTTCCTTCCTCCAGGGTTGCCAGCAGGGAGGGAGTTGCTGAGCAGGGCTGAGAGCTCTGGATCCCCATTCCCAGGCACCTGCTGTACAGCCCCCCAGATGGCCCATAGGGACATGGGATTCTGAGAGTCTGACCTGGATGCATCATCTCCCTCTAAGGTCTGCTTCTTGGTGGGGTACTCCTTCCCATCAGAAGCTGGGCCCAGCACTTGTCCCCTCTTTCCCACATCTCCTTCCTCCATCTCACCTCCTGCAGAGAGCTCAGGCTGCCTGCTCCTCCTTCTCACTCCCCTCCTCCAGGCTTGTGCTCCTGCTACTTCCTCCTCTCTGGTGCTTCCTTCCCACCTGCTCCCAGGTGATCTTTCTACACCAGAAATGTGCCCCTGTCCCTCCTGCTTTAAACCCATCAGCAGCTCCCCTCTGGGTGAATCCAGGCTTAGCAGTGTGTCATTCACAGCACGCCCTCGGGATCTGGGCTCTGCCAAGCCCCCTCTTCCATCTCACTCTGAAATCCATCCTCTCACTCCAAGCTGCCTGGAAGTCTCTGTGCAAACGGGGCGGTTTCTCCCTCTGCGTTGCTCCTGCTGCTCTTCTTGCTGAAATGCCCAGCTCCGCCCACGTCACCTGCAGAGCTCAGCTCAGGGGCTCTATCCCCATCGGACCTTTACCCCCAGGAAAGCTGGTGCACACTCTCTCCTTGCACGCATCACACTGCATTTGTGTGATGTTGCTTTTCCTCTCCTCCCTCAACGGGTGATCCCTTTATGGGCAGAAGCATGTGTCGTTTGTCTGTCTCCATCCCCTGCATAGAGCCGGGCACTGGGTGGGCCTCAGCCAGCATCCACCCCCTTCCTCTCTCCCAGCCCTGCAGCCTCACCCAGGGCATTCTGTCCCATGGAGACACTTCTGAGCGGAGGCGGTGGGACGGTCCTCGGCCCTGTCAGCAGAGATGAGGAGTCCCTGCTTCACCCTCACGCTGCTCTCCTGGCCTCCCTGGGCTCAGCTGCTCTCAGTGTCGTGCGTGTGTATCTTAGGTGTCTGTGCTGGTGTTCTCCAGTCTGTGCAGGGGACCCAGTGTCTGCCCCGGAGCTGCTGGATTTCTCTGTGAGAGCTTTTCCTAAACCCCACCTCGGTCCTCCCAGCAGCCCTGTGAGGCGCCATTTAAGGGAGAGAGTGGGGATTGAAGAACTAGAGTGTCCTGCCCAGATGCATGGCGCGGCCGAGTCCACGTTCCAGCCCAGGCCTGAATGTTGGTCCTGACACCCCTCCAAGTCCACTCCTGCTCCTGACTGGGGTGCCGCCCTGGCCTCACCTTGGACCCCTGCCTGGGTTCTTCCCCGGCTGAGAGAGAATAGCTGGCTCAGGGGCACGATGCTCCCTGTTCACTGATGTTTGGATTTGCAGGTCCAGCACTTGCAAGGTGGCCCCTCCCCTGCCCGCACTGCCTGCAGGGGGATCGTGGTCCTGGAAGAGTCACTGTGTGGCTGTGAGGGTGATCAGGACCCCTTTCACTCAACTTTGCCTTTTTAATGTAGAAAAAATGTTATTCTTTTCCAAGGCAGTTAAACACTGAGGAGAGAACCCCAAATACGAATTATTAAAAGAAAGTCCAGTCCCAAATCACTGCTTATTCCAACCCTGATTCACTTCAGTCCAGACCTGAGTCAAAGCCTCTCCAGTAACCTGTCTTCACAGCTCCAACCCTTAGGCTCGGGACACCTGCTGTTGAACATCATCGTTTCCTTCTCCCTGCCTCGTCTCTACAGCTCCACAGCCAGAGATGAGCTTGCCTTGACCACGTCCCTCTGCTCTGAGAAGGCCGCTCAGCACTGGACTCCATCATTCTAACACAAATGGAATACGTGAAATTGTCCTGCAACAGTACATGCTTATTCAATACAATGTGCAGTTAGTTTCAGAAGCGTTAGTATAATGGAAATCCCATAGGGTTTGGAATCAGACAGGACTGGCACCAAATTCTGATCCATCAACATTGGATCCTGGATTCTGAATCAGAGATCAGCTCTAGTCTAGATACAATGTTCTGTTTCCTATTCCTTCACTGTTGTCATTAGTCTAATCTGCCTAGCCCAGATTGTATCCTCAGCTTTAAGGGAAATCCTTCTGAATTCTTACAGTTCATGTAAAACCCTTCCCAGGACTCAGCCTTGTGTCCGTGTGAAACAGAGCTAGTACCTTCCAGCCAAGGTCACTGTGAGAGGCGATGAGATGACAGACCCTACAGAAAGGGCCTGTGCAGAGACAGACTCAGTGCTGGTTCTCTTTCCCCAGCCTCTCTGGTTTCATTTTCTGTTGAGGAACAACATTTATGCTGCAAAGCGCACGTGGGTTAAGGGCAGAGCCCGGTGAATTTTCACAAACAGCATAGACCTGTGTAACCAGCCCCCTGAAGCCCCCTTGAGCCCCTGCCTTTCTCTGTTTTAATAGTTTGGGGAGTAATGACGTTGTCATCCATAGGAGAGAAGCTGTCCTAAGGAGCTTCTCCGAGACCCTCTGTGTGTGAGTAAAAGAAGTGAAGTTCTCAGAAGGTGACAATGTGCTGCCTGGTCCTGGGTCTCTCCTCAGGATGTCCAGGTGAGCAGAGAGTTTGATGACCTCGCCAGCTCAGTGAAGGTCACTCTTCCAGGGCTTTGCAGGAAGACTGCTGCCCCCAGAGCAGAGCACAGAACAGAGTTGCTGCCTGCCTTCAGCCCATCCCCACCAGCGTCTGTCCCTAAATGACTGTGGAGTGTGGCTTCCTCATTTTCCATGGGCCACTTCAACTTCCACATGCAGGGTTCTGGGCCTCGCCATGCCTCATTACCACCTGAGTCTGTGCTGAGTCTCCATGTCATCCGATGGGTAAGTTGTATGGAGCTGGCCTTCACGATGATGCAAACATCTGCACCCTCCTTGGCCCCCACAGATCCCACACTAACCTGGGCCTTCCTCTGTTCTCGTATGTGTAATATGAACTCGTATGACATACTGCATGTTGAGCTGGACAAGGCATCAATGATGCCATGAAGGATGAAGGAACTTCATCAATGAGAATAGAAGGTGGTGTGCACCTGGCATTCCCAACATCATCTTGTGAGAATGCAAACTGATGCAAGTCTTTTGGAAGGCAATTTATCATTATGCACCAAGAGCCTTAAAACTGCCTGTGCCCTTTGACCCAATGGTCTGACTAATCTTCTCTACAGAACTAGCCAGAGATGCAGAAAAAGATTGATGCCCAAAGATGTTCCCAGAAATGCTGTTTATAATATGAAAATTGGAAATAATCTAAATGCCCAATAACAAGGGATTGGTTAACTAAGATTTGGATCTCTGCAAACATTAAAGCCAATATTGAAAGAACATGTGACAAATTGTGAAAATGTGCATGCTTAATAAAGTGAGAAAATCCAGATTAAAAAGTCACACAGTTTGCCTGGCAGGTCCTCAGAAGGTTAAACATGGAGCTGTCATTTGACACAGCAATTCTGCTCCTAGAGAAATGAAAACAGATGTTCACAGCAACACTTGTACACAGATGTTCACAGCAGCCTTCTTCATAATAGCCACAAGGTGCCAATGTCCACCAGTGATGGATGGATAAATACTGTGGTACACCTATGCAATGGAATATTATTTGGCAATAAAAAAGGAATAATATTTGGCATGATAAAAATGTTCTAAAATTGATTATGGTTATGGTTGCACAACTCCATGAATATACTGAAAAAAATTGAATTGTTTCCTTTAAATAGGTGAATTGTATGGCATGTGAATTGTATCTCACTGCAGCGGTTTAATAGAGAAAAGAAAGGAGTAGCATGCTACTACAGGAATGGATCATGGAGCAGGAGGAATGTGTCCTGCACATCATGGATGGACCTTGAAACTTTCTGCTGAGTGAAAGAAGTTAGTCACATTGTAGGATTCTGTTTATACAAAATGTCCAAAGTAGGCAAATCCACAGAGACAGAAAGAAGGTTCAGGGCTGCTCAGGGCTGGGGAGGTGGGAGGGACGGGAGGTTGGCAGCTAAAGGGTCCGGGTTGCTTTTGGAGATGGTAACAATGTTCTAAAATTGATGGTGGTGATGGTTGCACAACTCTGTGAACGTACTAAACACCATTGGATCGCCCACCACTTTAAATGGATGAGCTGTATGGGACGTAAATTGTATGTCAAGAAAGCTGTTACCAAAAAAAACCATGTTGTTTGATCCAAATTGTGTAAAAAGAAAATGTATGAATGTATATACACAGAAAAAAAAAAGACCAAAAGAACCCCTGACATATTAATGATGTTTATCTCTAGGTTTTGAGTTTATGTATTTTTCCTTTATATTTTTATGCATTTTACACACTTTCTGCTCTAAGTATGTGTACTTTTAGAATCAGAAAAATAAATAGTATTTAACACAACATAATACAGGCTACAGTTCAGTCATGTTCATGGCGTGGTTGGAGCCCTGAGGAAGGAGGGTGCTAATGAGTGAATTTTGTAACCCCAAAGTTCATATGTTGAGGCCTGAACACCCAGTGTGACTCCATTTGGAGACAGGAAGTAATTAAGGTTAAGTGAGGTCATAAGGGTGGGTCCTGACCCCAAAGGATGAGTATCCTTATCAGAAGAAGCACCAGAAAGCTTGCTCTCTCCCCCTTGCCCATGTGAGCACAGCAAGAAGTCAGCCCTCTGCGGGCCAGGAGGAGAGGCCTCACCAGAAATCAACCCTCCCAGACCTGGATCTGGGACTCATGGCCTCCAGAAGTATGAGATGTTGACTGAGGAAAAATTCACTACACTTCAAATAGCAGATATTTATTTGTGCAATTAAAATTGCAACTCAGGAGACAGAGATTCAGGCAGAAACACAAAATGGGTTCCAAGGAAAACAAGGAGGTAAGGGTTTATAAAGGCAAAAAGAGAAAAATTACACAGGTCGTTTTGCAAAATTTGTGATTGGCGCTGGCAACAACTGTTACTTCTTGGTTATATGTGATCACTTGCTAAGGCCATCTCTAAGGCAGGAAGTTCTTATCTTTGAGAGTGAGCATATTTCTTGAAAGAAGGTCAAGATGACAACAGAGAAGCACAGCTCAAAAGTTACATTCCCTCTGGTAGAGACGTGGTGTGCCTGCATGAGCCCCATTTCCTTAATGGGCTCCCAGCTCCATTTCAGAATCCTTGGCATGTGTTACTCTATTTTGTTCTCACTGTCCACATTTCCCCTTCTCATCAAGATCTTTCAGCAGAAAACACCTTGGATCAACTGTTTGATATATTGATATTTCCCTCGTTACTAAAAATGTTCTTTTCTGGGAAGTCATGTCCCTTGTCGGGGGGAGGCCACATGCTCAATCTTCCATAGGATAAATGCAGTCAGAGGCTCTGGCAGCATCTGAACAATAAGGAGGTGGTCAGGAAATGAGTCTTAGGCATGGTCTCTATCTGGAAAAGTATCAAGTCCTTTGGAGTTTGAAGACTGTTGGATCATCTCAAGTCTCTGAGCAATCATTGTTCTGGAGGTAGAGACACACACAGCATCGAGAAATGCAAGTCATCCATAGCTTGAAGGTGACAAAGATCATACAAATCAGGACAATAATCATTAGTACAACTTGGAGCAGATCTGAGGCAGTAGTAGCATAAGAAGCTTAAATATAAGTACACATAGCACATTTCTAATAATCATCGTAAACAATATCTGAAGTCCTGGTCTCATCTAAGCACCTATACCAGGAAGCCAGATGAAAACATCGATAGAGAATCACAGGGTGTCATTAAAAAACGTTGGACTGGGGACATCCTGTGATATTATTATGATTTTTCAAGTTATAACTGATCTTCACCAGAAGAGTTGATGCAGGTTCAGCAGGAGGTGTTGGCTATGACACAGATGCCACCCTGTCCTGCAGGGAGATATTGAGTGCCATTCAGTTATCTAACACAACCCTCACTAAGGAATCAGACTGTTGTTGAGCAAAGGCTCAAATGGTAGAATTTGCCAGTTTAACTAGGGTTAGGGATAAATTTTTCTCAACAGGTCATTATGGACGACATCAATCCAAAGGACAAAGCCTTTCACATTGGTAATAGATGACAGTAGCTGGGGTGTAAAAAAGGATCTCCTCGTCTCTCCTAGACCTATGAGATTTCAGTTGGGTTTCTTGTTTAACAAGAACTTGAAATTGAATATTATGAGATCCTAAAAGGTGTTGTCCTGCCATATGCCTGCTGGCTAGACACTCATAAGCCCACGGTTCCCCATAGTAATCACAAAGGTCTACCCCAAAGGGGCACATAGAATGCAAGCACTTCTAGTTCTGCAGCAGTGTCACTGGTCAAGAGCTCTTGGTAAGGTCCTTTCCAATGGGGCTTGAGAGCCGTCTTCCTCTGATGATGCTTCCAGAATACCCAGTACCAGGCTCTAGATTATGACCAACAGGATCCTTTAAATTGGAATCCTGTAAAACATCTTTAACCTGTTGATAATGTTCTGGGGATAAGACAGTAGAGACTCACAGGAGCTGGTGACACTCACATGAGACAACAGGGGAGCAGCAGAAGGTTGTGGGTGAAAAGCCACTGATCTGCTGGTGACTGTCTCATACCTAATACCTTAGGCCAGGGGAGTGCAGTCCACAACCTCAAAGACGGTCAACAGGACTAGAATCTATTGTCTACAAAGATGCAAACATAATTTTTCTCTCCATAATTACTCTCAAATCTTTTTTGTCAAAGATAATCATGGTAAAACTAATTGTTTATAGTAAAAACTTGGCTTGATTATTCATACAAGTGAAAATAGGAATACTGAGAGTTTCGGAATTCTGGAGAGATAAGGTAGGGAGAAAAGGTAAATGTTTCATTTTTGTTTACATAGGTATGTTTTACCAAATAGTTGATAGACTAAGATAAAAGATTTCTTTAAACCTGGAAAAATGAAACATTAGGCCATCTTTCTCAGCTCATGTAGTCTCATGTCATTTACTATTTTTTTCTGGGGCCAGTTCCGTGGCTGAGTGGTTAAGTTCATGCGCTCCACTGCAGTGGCCCAGGGTTCAGATCCTGGGCGAGGACATGGCACCGCTCATCAGGCCACGTTGAGGCGGTGTCCCACATCCCACAACGAGAAGGACCTGCAACTAAGATATACAACTGTGTACGGGGGTGTTTGGGGAGATAAAGCAGAAAAAAAAAAAAAAGATTGGCAACATTGTTAGCCAAGGTGCCAATCTTTAAAAAAATAAATAAATAAAATATTTTTTTCTGCTTGAATCCAGTTTTTCCAGTAGTTTTCTTGACTTTGCCTGATGATTGAGGATGATCAGAACAGTGATAATTCCAACAAGTTTGAAAGGTTTTCATCAAGGTTATATGATTTGCCCAGTGAAGTGGGTGCCTGGAGATTGTGGAAAGTACATCCCAAGTGGGAAGGACGTGTTCTAGCAGTTTCTCTGCCATTGTGAGGACATCAGCTTTGTGGTGAGGGAAAGGCTTTAACCCATCCAGGAAACACAGACAGAAACAAAAACATATTGATGAGCCATAGGAAGTGGCAGCTGAGTGAAGGCCAGCTGCAGGTGCTCAAAGGACCCTGAGGGAAGAGTTCTGAGGCCTCTGGGGACAGAAATAGTTTTTCCTATTGTGGTTGAAGAAATGTAAAAACTGAAAAATGGAATTTTCCAGAGAGCTGGGAAGAGCTCATGGGCCATCTTGGATTTTCCATAGTCCTGACTGTTTGTTG